GCATCTGTGAAGAGAAATCAGTGTTAATGTTTCTGGTCCAGTGACCCTTCCTCAGAACTGAGGAAGGGTCACTGGACTCAAAATGTTAATGCTGACTTCCCTTCATAGATGCTGCCAGGCCTGCTGAGCTTTCCCAGCAATTTCTGTTTTCGTAACTACTTTGGAACTCTCTGTCTCAGAAGGTGAGGTCATTGAATATTTCTAAGACATAGGTGGATAGATTCTTGTTAGGCAGGGGAATCAGGGCTATCAGGGTAGATGGAAATGTGGAATTCGAAACACAAACAAAACAGCCATGGCCTTACTGAATGGTGGACCAGAATCGAATTGTCTCCTTCTGCTCCTATTTTCTATATTCACACGTACAGAAATTGACTGCAGGAACAAGACCAGAGAGAGTAGAGCAAGAATTGGAACTCACTGTGAACATTGTTAAATGCATTTATCCTGGTGGAAATTGAACTGAAGAAATTCAGGCAGTAGTGGCTTTAAAGGTAGATACAGATGTCAGTTTCAATGATTGAGGATCTTCAAAAGAATGGGATATTATTGATCTGCTTATAGGAGAGAGAGTTTTTGCAAAAGGTACGGTCGAGGAGAATTGGCTGAGGTCTTGAAAGTTTGTTGCCAAACATTGCTTATGTGACTAAGCTTTTGCAGAAATGGATGATGATACGAAAGGAAGAGGATGTTAAGTATCTACTACCCATGTTATGATATCCAGAAATCTTTAATAAGATGTTGAACTCAATCAAGTTTTAGATTTTGTCATGTACAATTGGCAGTCAGATTTTATGAGAGAAAAGGACAGCAACCAGTGTTATAAGTTGTCCTGCCAGGATCCTTTTGGAGATATTTCTGACACGAGCTTTTAAATGATTTGCATGAGAACAACAATAGAATATTCACTAGTTAGATGGATGCTGGAATTTCATTCAAATAACCGGGTGTGGACTGATTGCAATGTCTCATAAGCTAATTGGTGGCAGATTTGCATCAAAGTATATAAGTGGTACATAAGTTTGTAAGATACTAGCGAAGAAATCCTGAATTACTGTAGTGCGCTTGGTGGATACACTGCATCCCTGCAATGATTCCCAGAATGTTGACAATGGGGATTCAGTGAAGGCACTATCATTGAATGTCAAGGAAATACAAGATTATGTCTTGCTGGAGATGCTCATTGCCTGGCATTCGTGCGACACAAATAGAATCATAAAGTCATAGAGTCACACAGAATGGAAACAGATCCTTCGGTTTAACTCGTCTGCACCGACTAGACATCCCAATGTGACCTAATCCCACTTGCCAGCATTTAGCCTATATCCCTCTAAACCACTCCTATTCATATACCCATCCAGGTGCCTTTTAAATGTTGTAATTATACTTGCCTCCACCACTTCCTCTGGCAGCTCATTCCATACACATACCACATGCTGTGTGAAAAGTCCTTGTAAATATTTCCCCTTAATCCTATGCCCTCTAGTTTTGGTCTCCCCAACATCAGAAAAAAAACTTGGCTATTCACCCTATCCATGCCACTCATGATTTTATAAACCTCTCTGCTCCAGGGCAAAAAGCCCCAGCCTATTCAGCCTCTCCTTATAACTCAAACCCTCCAGTTCCAGCAACATCCTTGTAAATGTTATCTGCACCCTCTCAAGTTTAACAAAATCCTTCCTGTAGAAGGGTGACCAGAATTGTAAGTAGTTATTTAAAAGTGGCCTCACCTATGTCCTGCACAGTCGCAACATGATGTCCCAACTCCTATACTCAATGTTCTGACCAATGAAGGCAAGCGTGCCAAATGCCTTCTTCACCAACCCGTCCATTTGCAACTCCATTTTGCCAGTTCTCAGTTCCAGCCTGAATGTTGTCTAGGTACAGATTGTCTCATTATCTGAGGAGTTGCAAATGCATGCAATCATTTTGACTTCTGAATTTGTAGTGGCAGGTAATTGATAAAGTAGCTAAAGATGGTTTGGGCCTAAGATACTACCCTTGGGACTGTGCTCACGTTTGTCTATGTAGAGATTCAAGTCCAGTTCCTCACATATGGCTGAAGATATCAGGGAGAACAACCAAAATTATACTCTATACTATACTGGATCTCTATTCTTGTAATAATAATTGTGAAGACATCTTTCTTAGCAGACAAAATAAAGAAATGGATAGCCTAGTACCGATTTTATTTTATTTTTCAATGGCTCTATTTGATTGAATAGGTTTTTTTCAGATGTTTGGGTTTGGAAAAATTGGGAGGCCTGAGGAGAAAATATGCCTTACCATTCCAATCGCCACCACATGCCATCTGTGAAATGAATTCAAGTTAGAAGTGTGCAGAATGCACATCTCCAGCTCATCCAAATGGATGACAATAACATCAGAATAATGATGGTGTGGAAATGCTTCTTCCTTTGATTTTATTTTATATCATCTGTGACACAATTTTGTTGATAGCATTAAAAGACAACATGTTCTGGTCTTTGAAATAATTCCACACTCTTCATCAACACCATTGAATGGGATAATAGTGATTTTCTTTTTGGCAAGATTATAAATCCCCACAGAAGTGACAAGATAAATTGCTTTTTATTGCTTTGGGAATAGCATAGCTCTCTGTCCTTAAGCTTCTGGTCTCTGATTGTTGTTCAAGAAAGGAATTGAAAATGAATTACATACTACCAGCAAAGGAGGGAATAAAATGGTAAAATATAAAAAGTGAAATTTAATATTTCATGTACTCTTTTCTTAATAGCAGTGTAGAAATAGTTTTTGGTAGTACAGAACCTGAACATTGCCTAAAAAGGACACATTATTTTCAGGTTTTTCATTTTGCACTCCTCAGGACAATTCACAAGAATATTGGAAAATAAAGGAAAACATTTATACTGAATGATGAGAGTGCTGACTGGTTGGCAAGTGGATTCCTGTTAGCAGAGACATTGCCATGGAGAATGTACCAGTTAGATTGTGATTGACAATTAAATGTCAAGACATGTTTAAATTTTAAATCAGGCAAGATTACACTGATTGGTCAAGGCATTTCCCTGAGAAATGAACCAGAGAATGGATGTCACCAGCATTCTAATTTTTTTTCTGACTGCATGGGCCTCCAAGCAGTCTGGCTCAGATTAAGGGGTAAAGCTATCTCAAAGGTTTGATCAACAGGTGAAGCAAGCTTTTGAAAGCTGCACCTATGCAGTGGTATCACAAGTGCTGTTCACCACTAACAGGATTCTGCTATCAAGCTAAAAAGATGTTTTCCCTATTACACAAATGAATAATGAGGTAAATGAATTTCAGTGTCAGTGTGGTGCTAGCTATGTTGGCCATGTGTCCTCAAAACTGGCAAATCATATCAAACAGCAAACCACTTTGGCTGTTGCAACAAACAAGACTGTAATCAACTAGCCCACACTTGCAAAATTCAAAACATGGTGCCAAACATTACATATGACTCTGCAAATGGACAATATTTGCTACATGATCCTGAATGTGCAAAGAATTACACTGTCAAACTTTGTAGGATTATTAGAGATAGTAGGAACTGCAGATGCTGGAGAAGCTGAGATAAAAAGGTGTAGAGCTGGATGAACACAGCAGGCCAAGCAGCATCAGAGGAACTCAGATTCTCCAGCATCTGCAGTTCCTACTATCTCTAAAATAAAAGGCTGTCCCAATTTGTTTTACATCCTATAAAGTACAAATCTTGTCATGCAACAATCAGACTTTTACACAACTAACATCTTGAAGAAATTGAAATTCACCTTCTCCCATCAACCCATTATCACAGAGTTGTCAGGTCAGAAACTGTCCCCCCTAACCCTATCTCACAAAGTAGCACAAAAGGAGCCAAAAGTACATGTAAATTCAAGAAGTTGAGTGGCTGCCCCAAAGCAAATTGGTTTGCACCAGGGCAATTTGAATTCAATGATGAGTGGTGGTAAGTAGAAACAGGTTAGATTTTCGGCGCCAAAATTTGATTTATTATTGTCACATGTACCTAAGTACAGTGAAGAGTTTTGTTCTGCATGCAGTACAGGCAAATCATACTATACAAATATCATAGGATGATTGAACAGAGCGAGGAATACAAAGTTACAGCTGCA